CGTTTTAAAAAGAGCAACAGCACTCATCTGCACAAAGGGAGGGAGTGCCAAAAGTGACTGCCTACGTAGATGGGAAAATATCCTTGTTTCTCCTAACACCGGAACATCATCATCTTTTAATAAAGATGATAACTACTGTTTTAATGCACTGACAACTAGCAAACCCAGCCATTAAGAGAACCACTCTAGCGAGGATGGGGCACCCGAGAGGCAGGCAGGCTGGACCCTCCTGGATGGTCGCCTGCAATCCAGCTTTAGCAAAGTGAAGCCGTGATACCCATTTCCGATGAGCATCCTTCTGGAGAAAGTACTACTACTTAGATGTCCTAATTGCAGAATATTCTTCTGGGTCTTCAGCACAAGAAAGTTCTAGTACGTTCGTAATTCATAATCGTGCTTATCTCTTGGCCATTTTAACAAGAGGGGCAGGTGTCCTCTCCAAAAAAGACTTTTTTCTTTTAGGCAGGCCAAGGGACAATTGTTTTTCTGAAATTCAATTTAGCGCTTCGCTCAACGGGATGCATTGCTTTATGTTGGAGACCGACCTCTGAATTCAGTCTGAATAGGGCAGTTTGAAATGAATGCTCTTAAAATATTTTCTTCTGCTTTCTGTAACAGTGACCTTAGTAAGTGAATTTAGTAATTTTAACAGTAATACAGATCTATTCTGCAAGTTTAAGAAAAACTTTGGCTCCAGTTTAGCTCTCAGGTCTATACAAACGAATTCCCACTTAAAAGAAACGGCAGAAGGAATATTTTGGCGGAAACATTTAAGAAAAAGAGATGCTCTAACACCCTTCTAATCTCACGCATTTCATAACTAGTGTTGCATGTTCTTACTATTGCAGCAATTTAGAAGATCCAACATAAACATAAACGTTGCTATATGAGTGATACTCAAGTATTTCTTTAAAACTCTCAGACAACAATTTCTGGAGCATAGTAACTTCCATGTTCCACTGAAATACGCTATACCATATTATCGTTAAACAAGGAGCTCCAGTGAACTGAGTCTTGCATTGCAATATGAATTCCTCCTAGGTGCAGTTCGGTTTTTTTTAAAAGTTTTAAACCAAAAAGTGCACTACTTCTAAGTAGCCACAGTAATCTTTCTCTAACTGTAACTTGTTATTTCCCCACGTATTTCAACAATTTGCAGTGATTAAAAAAGAAGCCAAATCGCCTTCATTTTCTTGAAGGAGGTCCTCCTTGGTTAGAAAATGGACCAGCAGTTCTGTGTTTAGAGACTACAGGAGTGCAACGAAAAACGCTGCTATCAGCAGTCTGGTTCCTGTTCCCGTTCCCCTGTAGGCAAGCAAGCATTGCTCAGCGAGTTGCAAAGCGCTCGGCTGGGAACGGTGCTGGCAGACAGGCAGCTCTGCGGCCAGGGCAGGCGATGCGCTGCCCCTGGAAGCCGCCGACAGCACCGTGGGGACTGACAGCTCGGGTACTCCTAGGCACCGCAGTTAGGCTTCTGTTCCAAAACAGCGAGTTGTCTCTCAGCGGTAAGGCACTTAAAGCCTCAGCCTCCTCACAATTCCTGTCCACTCTACAATTGCCAGCCTGAGCTAATCATTTAGTATTTTCTGCCTGTGCCCAGCATAGGAATTACTGAAGAAACACAAAGGGAACGGTAACGTAGGCCTCACCTCAGAGAAAATAACACTGTCAAAGTGTTCCTAACTGTACAGTGTGTGATGCTGACAGAGTTACAACGCAGAATATAATTCTTTTGTGTAACATAGAGGTGCTCACCGAGTAACATTAGTTTAAACAGATGTCTGTCTTAATTCTGCAGCTGTTATTATAAAAGAACCTTTAAAGCAGGTAAATGCTAATAGGCTTAAAATTAAAAAGAGGTAAAAGTGTTTTCCTTTTTATTAGGCTGCTTTGTAACATTAAAAAAGCTGAAAGTATTCTATAGTTCTGCTATAAAAATTCTTCTACAATTGGCTATAGATTTTTTTTTCCTTTTACCAGTCACGCATATTTGCATCCTGATAGGGCAAAATCTTAAATACAGGCACCATAGACTATTTGTGGACTTAAAAGACATTTGTGTGTATACATGTGCACAGGATCGGAATCTCAGCCACTGTCAACTGGCACAAAGCAACAAGGTCATACCAAGCGATTTGAAAAACCTTGACGATAACCTTTAGGTGTTGAACTACGAACCGGGAAAGAAACACAAGGATTTAGAGAAAAGAACAGGACCCTAACGCTCGCATTGCAAACCTGTGCCAAATTCTGTTCTCATGCAGTAACGCACTCCCTGGAAAAGGTGTTCCGGTACAGAAACAGTGGCAGACGCCTCTCCGCAGTGACATGGTAATGGCCCACGCATTCGGCTCTGCTTCCCAGCTGAACGTAACGCTCTGGGCTGAGGGTTGCCATAGCCTCACTTAAAACCCTCGGACACTTAACTGGTTTATCAGAGTACCCCAAAACTACTGTGGTTCATTATTCTTTGCCCCTTTTATAAAACAACGAAAGAAACTATAAACAGGAGTATGAACGCAGGGTAATGCATCATTTATAAATTATCTTGGTAGCGCAGAAAACAAAACATGGCTTTGAAAACAAAACCTCCTGCTGCGGACTCCGGTGTGTTTGATGGGAGCCCTTCAAAAGAGTTCATGGCTTAATGGAGGCTGTTTATGTGGGGACTTCGATCTGTACCTGCTGTCCCCTGTCACTCCCTGGAAACTTGGCGGCAGATGTTGCAGCGTTAAGTTGTCTCTGAAGTGGCTCTCTGTCCTCATCTCCCCACCACAACAGAGTCAAACTATATTAGATCTCTTTATTTGTGCCTGAGGCATGTTTGGGAGCGCAGCTGTGTCCACCCCCACTCTACCTTTAGTGTTTCAGCCCCCAGGCGGCAAATGTGAGACCAAAACTGTTCTGCCACTCTTAACTACATCTGCTGACAATCCTGCAGCCTCGCTGCAGGCTGCCGAGGACCTGTGCCTCCGCTCTAAACAGATGTCGGCGACAACCTGCTAGCTCACACCTGTACAAGCTTCTCTAACCTCACGGACTGCCAGTTGAAAAATTTATGACTCAAAGGACTTCCATCCACAATCAAAGCGTCTTGGCTCAACCGCGTGCAGCCCTCAAACTGGGCCACCCTCGGCATTACCTGGCAACATGGCAGAGGTGGGAGAGGAGAGAGAGAAGGAAGAAAAAGCTGGCTCTGCTTTGATACTTCACGCGTAAATTTCAATTACTTGATCAAGGACTTGAATTCAGCAGTGAATTCTTCTACAAATGGGAACTACCAAGTTCTTAAACAAGAAAAGAAAGAAGGCAAAACAAAACAACTATGTGGCTGTTGTCCACCGTAACGGTGCTTCCAAAGTAAGTGTGTGTACACGCGTCTCGCTGTACATACACGTGACTGCGCATCCGTTCACTGACTTAAACCCGTCAGGGATACAGCATGCCATCTCCACTTAGCAAGTCATGAATGAGTAAAAAGATTTAATTTTTTTTTCCCACCCAAGATATAAAACACCATGCCAGACAGAAATTGCACTCCTACAGTACACAGGTCACACCTTAACGACCACTGCTTTAGATTTTATTCATCAGTACAAATTGTACTCCTTTTTTCAGTGGGGATACTGAAGATTAGTGAGCTACTTCTCTGTTTTTCCTAAGCCAAGGTGTTAGTCAATGTCTTCCTGTCAAGTCCAGAGAAGGCCGACACCTGACTTCACAACGGCTCAGCAAAGGCTTCCCTGGCAGGCAAGTTTTACAGTAACTACCTGTCTTTATGGTCAGAAATCCTCAAAACAGGGCCTGACTGACAATTTTTTAACCTGTTCGGGCACCATTTCTTCTACGTTCCTATTTACATTGAAGTTACCTGTTAAACTGTATTGTACTGTGTATTTTGTACGTGGATTTGTTACTATTAATTCTGCTACATGTAACGTGCTTCATTCATGCAAACAGTAAATAACTTGCCAGTGTAACAACTAGAATGATAACACTAGTATTCGACTATGCTCCCTGTTTCCAGCATTGCACCTTGTCATTCTGCTTCTTCCAACACTTGTCCTTGTCTTAACTAAATCTCACCTTTTCCTCCTTCCTTCAGAACGGTACCAAACTTTGTCCCAGGAAAATAATCTAAATAGCAATTACCTCTCATTCTCTCAAAGGTAACTCCCTCCCTTTAATCCCTCTAATTCTTTTACGCCATCTTTATGGTGTATGTTGCAAAAAAATGTTTTCTTGCACACTACTGCTTTGTGGTATGAGAGGATCTGATCTGTCACGCCCACCTGGGGCCAGTTTGCTGAGAAAAACGTTAGAGGAAATTGCTCCTCTGCCTCTTGTGATGTGCCACAAACAGGAAGCTGAATGGTCCCAGTAGATTTGAAATACCTTGATGATAAATCAGGTCCTGAGATAAGTGCTAAGATTTAAAGTAATACTTTCTTAAGGAATAACCATTAGAAATACACAATCTAGCTTCACTCTAAGAGATTCAAATAACTACTCTACTTCCCAGTCATAGCCGTCTTTGTAGCGGAGGCCACTTGATCATGGGTCATGAGTGTACTAGAAGAAACGACTGTCCGAGAAACACGTTTCCTCACCTTTTTTTCTGTGAAAGTTGCCTTTGGCATGGAAGCGCAAAGCTATGTGAAGCAACTTGCATGAAAATTATTGGTGGTCACCTAAATGGATGTGGTTTTAGTATTCTGATAGCCAGACTCTACTCTTACAAATAGCTGGTTATAAGAAAGATTTGGCTTTTTGTTACAGAGAGCTTACACCGAATGAAGGGTGTGCTATGTTTTTGTTTTCCAGCTGAGCACACACAAAATACAGAATCCTTCACACTGCTTTCAGGAGATCTGTGTTTCTGCAACATTTCTGGGCTGGTGTGATGCATCTTTCAATACACTTTGTTTCCCCAACGTGTTATTTTTCCTGTTGTGCCATTCTTTTGGCTGCAGTGCTTTCTTTAGTTAAGGTCAGGGAATTTACCAGAGTTCAGCAGCTGCTAAAGCCTGGCTGTAACGTGCCCCGCTTTTGCCAACCATAATGAATACCCGCGCCACACAAACCTCATCTCCTTGCTGCGGTCGCATCAAAGAGACTCTGTCATACTGTCTTCGTAACAACGCCCACAGTGCATCGAGTCGACCCTGCGGCAACAGACCAACGGGACTTTCGTTACCATCAAATCAGTCAACGGAGAGCACACCACACCTGCGAAGTTACCGTCCAAGGAGATCCACAGAGAAATTTACTGGCAGAACTGAGCACCAGCTCCTTAGAGCCGGATAAGCAAAGTATAAACTTGGGCTGCATCGCCCACACCACACAGCTGTGGTGCTGCTCTTTCCCATCAATGAATGCTAGGTACTGCACGCTCGCCTCCCCTGGAAGCAGAGTGGCTGTGAGCGATCTAGAAGTAATACCTTCATTTGCCAATATTTTGTGCTGAACTGCTACGTGTCCACCTGGGATTTCTCCCACATAAATGTATTTGGTTTTACAGCACATACACAGCAAGTTCATCATTCTCGGGAAGCCTCGGAGCTGCTAGGCACACAGTATACAGCTGATTCATGCTGCGCGGTAAGTCCGCATGTAGCGAATGCAGCGGGTTCACTGTGAGCGCTCGGGCTGCCTGTGCGGAACACGCACAGCAGCTCTGACGCTTGTCAGAAGCATCCCGCTCCACACGGACGCGCTGCAGAGTTTGCGCGTGTGTGTGGACGACACGTCTTCAGGACTTTCTGGTGGTCAGACAGGACTTACAAGGAGTTGTAAAGACAGAATAGATGTATCCATACTCCCAGCTAAACCTGTGTATTCTCTGCTCTTACGCATTTAAAGCAAGGTATTTATGGACCCATCTTCAGTTTTTAAGCAGAGCTCGTGACGGGTTTGCAGGTGACTCATGGCATCTACATTTCCTCTACAGGGGAAAATGTATTTATTTTATGCCATTTGTTATGTTTTACTTCTTCATCAGACTTTTTGCATTATATCATTTTATATAATTCTTGGCTGTTCTTGGTAACGAGTATGTATGTTTAAAACTTAGTATAACAGCAACAAACTGTGTAGTTTTAGGCTTAATGTAGATATACATTGAGATAGACTAAATGCCAATAAAGCCCCCGTAGATTTTAGTACTCTTACTGTACGATATGTCCCTTTTTTGGGGAAAGATAAGAGAATGTGGCAGTAATGATGAAGTACTGCATCTAGGGCTAAAAACTGCTCCTGCTATTTATGCTGAGTAGGTGTTCACTTTGAGAATAGTACACTACACTTGAATGGGAATACTTGAAAAATAATGTGCAGTTCAGCATGCATGAGAGTGGTAAGGCAGACAAAATCCAGCCTTTAGTACAAAATGATTTTGTACGGAAGACTAAAAAGATTACCTTAATCGGCGTATACCACTTCTCCTGAATGGCTGGTGAGGTAGGCTTTGGTTTAGGTGGTTTAGGATGAAAAGGTTCTTCTGGTTCTTCTGGGAGTTTCACCACAGCATTTTTTGCTTTTTCTAATCTAGCCCCTTCTTCAGTGGATCCTTTATCACCCCAGCGAACCTAAGTAAAGCCAGAGTTCAGACGTGAATGCACTGTACGCAAAGGACAAGGAAACTGTTGCAAATGACAGAAGTAGCTGAAAAAGTTTAAATTTGGAAGAAGTTCTGAATAAACAAGAGGGGAGGCCCTAAGGAAAATGTTCCCTCTTCACTTTTGATGACAGGCGTTCTTAGTGAAATACGTTTGTAAATACGAGTCTCTCCGTAGTGAAAAGTCAAGAGAAATACTGAAAGAAAATTCTGCCGTGCATCACACAGGCTGTATAGGAGACAGGAAATCTGGGAAATCTCCTCTACTTAGTGATGTAAAAATACCATTTCCAGTTCTGATTTATCCTAAAATACCAGACCTTAATCTGGCACCGATGAAAGCCTAGATTTTTGTCACCTCAGATTTCCTAACACAGCACGTTTGTCGAGAACGCCATTTTAGATAGAAGGCACTACTTGAGCAAGTTTTAGCAAAAGCTCCTTGAAACTGCTCAGGTTTTCAAGTAGTTCTGCAAGCAGATACAGACTGGAGAAAACGCAGATGAAGCAGTTTAACCCGCATCGTAAGTAAATGTAAAACATGTAGCAATGTATATTTTATCACTGCCACAAGTACATTAAATACACACAAAGGGTTCAAAGAGAAAGGAAACCTGGATTATTGCTGTTGGTGAGACAAGCACATATTTTCATTTCCATAAAAGGTCGCACCTACTATGCTATAAAGAGGAAATACAGGAAAAAAACTTCCCTCTAGGGAAGAGATGATTTGTCTTGCTACAGTAATCTTATTTCATCTTGTAATTGGAAACACTGTGAGCAATTTGAGCAAGGATGTTTGCTGTATTGTGCAAAGACAAGACCTGTTACTTTATCATCCAAAAAGAGCATCTAAAAGCTACGGCTGGAGTTTGAAAGCTCTTAGTAAAACTGGCCTGGATTATTTTCAGTGCAAGACTTTCTAAATCGTGCCATCTGCTACAATCTAGTCTGTAAGGAGGACCTGATACACCTAAACCCGGGAAATTAAATTCTAACATTACATCTTGGGTAAACGTGACACGCTGACGAGTCATGAAACTGTTGCTGGAAAACAGCTAACCGTTACTGCAGGACTGCACCGGCATACTTGTTTTTTTCAGGGACCTCCTGACTGGAGATGCCAGGCATGAAAAGAGAAGAATCCAAGTAAGAAAAATCAGAGAAGACTGACCTTCCACCCCGAGGGAAAGAATTAAGAGCATCACTGCACACTGCTTGGTAGGTATATGTCAGTTCTGTCTTGCTACCTGCCAATTCAAGCACTTGAAAAGTAGGCAGAAAAACAGTGGGATGCCACAGCTCTCCCACTGCAAAGGGGCACAAAATCGTTTTGCTCACCAGGAAGAGGATATGCCCCTGGTCTTCCTTGTGCTACCTGGAGGGAGGGAGGGAGGGAGAAGACTGCTCCAGGTCTTGCTAGGGACGCTCTATAACGTGCCGGGATAACTATGACATAGGATGGGAGAAGGAAGCAGCCCGACTTCTTCATCCCCATCAGCGCCACATGCAGAATGTGCTGATACGGAAAGTGAGGAAAATACGTAGGCTAGCCAGAGTCCAGCCCCCTTCAGAAAAATGAAGTATCTTGGAGGAAAATGTTGTCATTTTATCACCAGCACCAAGTGGTTTTTACCTCTGTGATTTCAATGTAGAGAACGAGAGCAGCAAAATATGACAGAGCTTTATTTGGTCTGTAACACTATAACTCACCTTGGTAAAATACAGACCATCATTTCTTAGGAGGGGGATTGTTTTGAACCTTTCTGCTACTTTGAACTTTACTGTTTGGCTTGCTTAGTGATTTCTTTTTTCTCGCTGGGGAATCCTCTCTGCAATATTAGAATGGGCTTTCATGTCCAAGTAGGCCCTGCTGAGTCATTAAAATGCATCTGTATCTTTCACTGTGATCAATGGTACTTTTACGGTGTTTTTTATGAGGCTGTTAAAATGTATTTTAAACACTGTTAAAACCATTTAGAGATAGATGGTGGATTCCTTACTGATAAAATGACCTTCTCCGTCAGACTAAAGCGACTTCACCCGGAAGAAACCGGATTTGTGAAGTCTGACAACACAACTTTAACTTCAAAACTTAATGCCTGTAACGGGTGGGGTCTAGAAATGGCATCATAAAACCTTAAAGCAATGCCAAAAGGCAGAGTGAACAACCCTGGCTAAATTATTCTGGACTGTTGCAGAGGGGTGTAGCTAGTGGGGAAGGCAGGAGCGAGTGTGTAACGGGCCCCAGAGGGAATATAGTAAGCAAAGAGAAGTAGGATAGGAGCGGTAAGCAGAAGTTTACTGGTTCATTCTCTCTTTTTCTCTATGCAAGGTAGCTGCGAGAAGAATCAAGCTGCTGGAAGAATGGCAGAAGACTAGAGCACAGAGAGGCAATAAAAAATAGACGACTGCATTACCGCATGAACTGAAAACAGGGAAGAAATGTAATGACTAGTCCAGCAAGTTTGTCACTGGCCACAGCACAGAAACCACATTTAACTGTCAGGTAAGGAAGAACCTCCCTTTGACCCGCTCACCTTCATCATCTTGTTAAGACTGTTTTTGTTTTCTCTCTCGTTTCCACGCTTGCTCTGCCCTGATTCACCAAATGAGCAACGTGCTCTCTTGAGCCAGCGAAAGGTCCGATACCGCTCTGTCCGAACAGCTGGGAACGGGCTGTTAAGCCAGCGTTTCCCTCGGCCCCACTGCTACAAATGCTAGGGGACAGAGGTAAAGCTCCGTATTCAAGTGCTGAGGCATTTACGATGCGGCGCCCAACCCTGAAATCTGTTAGTACTCTCGGGTCCCAGAGGACAGAGAGACAGCTGCAGAGAATGAGGTGCCTTTCAAGAGCCCGTGATTGTGTTGTCAGCAATTTCAGCTGGTTTACATCTTTAGCCCTTAGTCCTTATTCTTATAAGGATTATAAATTCTTAGCACAGATGAAAAAGTTTTCTAACCTAATCATTACTTTCCTCTTCTTTGAAGAGGAAATACTGTATTTTTGCCACATGATGAACATGCATTTCTTTATGGTATTGATGTTACTTGTGTTCATGAGGTATCTATCGGATTTCTGTGTCATTGCACAAGATCCCATTTACAAACTGTAATGATTTAAACACTGGAACCCCTCCTGGAACTCCTCCTGGAGGCTCATCGTGGCTCCCATTAGAAATCCAGGCCTGTAATTCTTTATGAAAGTATTTTCTAGTTTTCCTCTGAAAAGCACTGCACAAAATGGGGGGTTTTCTTCCTAAATCTGAAGCTCTTCTAAACTAGCAATTCTGAACTGCTGAAGGAAACACGTATGAGCAATACAGCTTTAAACTTACATGTACTTCTGCTCCATTTAAAAAGAACTCAAGCAAAGCTGATTCTCAGGCCAGTACCTTTAAAGTTTCATCAAGATACATCAATATGGCCTAGGTGGGTATTTCAGACAGAGAGAGTTTCCTAGATTGAAGTTAAACACTGCAGAAAACTGCTTTGCAAATTCCATAAAGGCTGACTTGACTATAAAATCTGACATAAGGACGTGCCCATAAGGATGCACATTTTTCATTCTGTTTTAATTAACATGATGCTATCATGTCTCTTCAAAGACAGGCACTGTTGTCGCTGTGAGTTCCTTTGGGATCAAGCCTCTCCTTAGCATCACCATTGTCAGCGCATTTGGCTGGCCCACAGTTGGAGGACTTATGTTTCACTGTAATTTCTTCCAAAACATTCAGAAAAGGCTCTCACTCCCTCTTTCTCATTAGCTTGATGGAAAGAGCATGTCTTCAGGCAGCTATTTAAAGTTCCAGTCAAATGGAACTACTGAAAGCTGTTCTTTCATAGGCAAGGTCAAAGTTGTTCGATACGGTAAAAAATTTTACAAGGCTTATGTCACTGGGAAGCGAGCACACATTATGCCCTTGTATTTTCAGTACACTTTAAAAGTCTTTGTTTCCACCATTTGCAGCCTCAGAGAGCTTGTGTTTTCGTGAATCGGCATCTCTGCATCGTACAAACCTCCATCCTTTTAATTCCTCCAACTCCTCGTCCACCATAGTAGGAAGCATCCACTGTGGGCCATTTCTTGGTAGGCAAGGGCTCTTGTTCTTCTTCCTGTCAAAAAATTCAAATAACATTTACTTTAAAAAGATAACTCTTTTTTTCCCCTCACTAAGTGTCTTTTTAGTATATTTCACTAGAGTTCACAGAGAGTAAGTTTTCCCATGTTAGGTGTGAAAGATAAGATATTTAGGTTTCCCAAGTGTTTACCAATTTCCAAACAAAATCTGGTCATGCTTGGAAATATTTTTACTGTTTGCATGGGAAAGCATTGGTGGTGACCATTAGGAAGGTCCAAATGGGGAATCTAACTGTGTATTCTACTGACAGTCCTTCGTTTGCCTCATCCTTTTCCTTTCCACTAACGAAAATAAGCAAAACACACACAAAGAAAAGGATTTGCAGTGGCTTCTTCTACAGAAAATATAATGCCTTCGAAGAGCCAGATCATCAGCCCTACTCATTTGGATTCAGCAGACGGCGTTCAGCAGATCTGCAGATAAAGGTTACACTGCCGATCACAGTTTCCTAAGCCAACCTTTGTCAAACTCGCTCTTGGCTGCCTCAGCTCAACGTAGTGTGCCTTATCACGGGCCTAACTCAGAGTACGCTCAAGCAATTGGCTAAATCAGGACCAAGGGGCAAAAATACTGAGGACACCAGAAGATCCTCTAGTGCATTATTGCCCCTAAGAGGGAGAGAAATTCCCTTATAAGGGTTCTTCAATGTCTGGAATGCCAAAGCTGTGGGAAAACGCTGTTTAAATCATACATGAATCTTTTGACTGTTATACAAGAGCTACTCAGTCTTTCTGCTTTCGCTGCAGAATGGGAAAAATAATGTTCAACTATCTTGGGATAAAGCCCCTAAGTATCTCTGTGGATTTGAGCTTAATTCATGCTACACTGAGATAGATGACTGAGACAGAACAGAGATTTGGCCTTTGGCCATCCCGCTCTCAGCTTAAGGCTTCCCACAGGGCAGTTCGTTCTTCTTCAGCAGCTAGGACAAAGAGCCGGCTTTGCAGAACACGGGAGAGCACAGAGGATTGGTATCGTGTAACCAGCGCGATGAGCGAAGCACCATCATACCGTACCTCTTTTGGAGCTGGCGGAGGTGGAGGGGGATCTTTGATGACCTGAAAGAGCCAAACATATAAAAGCATAAGGAATTGCCTGGCAGCATCCAAAAGCCAACAGAAAATTTTAAGAGTGAACTGTTTCCATCTGAGTCCCCCACATCTGCTTGCAAACTGGCAACCGCTGCTGCCAAGTCCCTTGGGTATCGATTATCAAGGCCTTCTGGAAATTAACACCATCCGTCTAATAGAAAATAACATCAGTTGACTGGCAGACACTCTTTGGGCAGACGTGTCTGCCACTTTGCTTCCTGACCGGATAAGACTCAGTCATTCTAAGTAATAGCCAGTGATGAAACCCCATGGAGTTAATTAGCAAGCCTGGGAGGAAAAGCATCCCAAGGTCTATGTGAGGTCTTGCATAATGTTGGGCCAAGACGCCTGCTTCCTTGTGCCATGCCGCCGGATAATTTCTGGCCCAATGACAAGTGCGAAATGCCTTCTGGTAGCTCAGGCTTCACCTCTAGATGTCCAGATCATTTCCGCAGATCTTGCGGTTTAGATCTAATAATTTAAGCATGTATCTCCTTCACTGTTCAGTGTGGGGTGCCTGCAAGTGGGAGGTACACTCACAAGGTTTTTTAAACCGTTTCTGGATAAGGCCCGCTCTTAGGATAATTCACTTACACCGCTATTTAAACCTCTACCAATAGTTTCTTCCTGTTCTCTTTCTCACACACATACTGTAAATCTCAGGGAGTTCCCTGGTACTGACAGGAATCCAGTGAACTGTACGGGGGGGAGAAGAGGAAAGCAGCAAGCCTCTTAAATGATTAAGGTGAAAACTGAATGCACAGCTGTTCTTCCACAAGAAAAGCAGGTCTGTAAGCTAAAAAGAAGTACTTCAGTGATATCAAGTAATTTTTTGTGCTTGAATATTGTATAGAAATGACTAAAAAAAATACCCCATAAATATAAAGGGGTCTGTTTCTGCTGTGCCTTAGTGTTATACCAACATAACCAAAACTGTCTGTGATGACAAACACCTAAATCTCCTAATACAGGATAAAGTACCTTAATTGAAATAAGCCTTATTTTATTCACTCTGTGCTATTAATTATAGTACTTGCATTTGCTCTGCCACTGCCTATGAATAATGTCACTGCACAGACGTATAGCATCATACATAAAAGAAACATATTTTTCTTGACCAATATTCAAGGGTTTTCCTTCTTGATTTACATTCCAAGTCCCAGTGCCACCAAGACAGTTACTCATTACTGCCTAAACAAGCTATGGACTTTTAGCACGGGATACAGGAAGTCTATCAAATAAGAGAAGTAAGTTATGGCACCCTTGGAAACGTTTTTCCACAGCACTTCAGGTTTAAGATACTGAATCATTCATCAAGCAAGCTCAGCGTACTTTGAGTGGATTGGAAAGTCAACTGTGGATTTTAACCAGACATCCCTTTGCTGCTATGATGTTGCATGTCTTCAAATATTTCTGAATACTTTTTCTTCCCACCCATCAGGAATTTTCAGAATACTTAACAGAAGTCAACTATTTAATTAGTGAAACATTCCTGAGAGCCAGATTGGAATTACTGCCCTAACTTTACAAGAAACAACAATACAGAGGGATCACGGGATAGATTCTGAGAGATACTTGGATGCTGAGCAAGATTTTCCAAAGCATGAAGATATTTAATTCTCACTGAAAGCAATTACAGACTGGAAACGGTAAACCGGTACTTCCAATATATTAAGGGTCACCTTATCTTATTTAATTCCCATTCTTATTTCCCTTTTGCCTGTCTCTAACGATTATCTCAAAAAAATGTATTTCGCTGCCAAGACTGTAAGCTGTACGGGGGGGAAAGGTCTAGCTAGGTTGTGGATTTATATAAATACGTATTAAATGGTATTATCACTTCGCTTTCTATAGTTCTGCAATCCTTAAGTCTTGCAGTCTCTCCTGAGCAAAGACAGCTTTGCACAGTAAACTTCTTTGTGGTGCATGCTAAAGTTGGCTTGGGCCCTTGATATTTATGGAATCAAAATTTCTGCCCCAGTGAATCAAGAAAAAAATCTACTTGTTGGACCTCACTGGGCTTCAAAAGTCACGAGTCAATGACAGTTTTTGTTTGACTCCCTGAGCAAAGGATCTAATCCTATGCCAGCTGCTAAACTCCCTGAAGTTATAGGGTAAACTTGATTTGAAGCTAACCAATACATTAATTAGCTGTTATTTCTAATAGCTTCAGAAAATGAAACTTGCTTTAAATGTGACAGTGGTGTGAGAAAATAATCTGCTTTGAGTAGCAGATACTCACCCCTGCTGACAGAAGTGGAATGTAAATGCCTGCATCCTTATGTTTCCACAGGCTCCTCGCACGCTCCCTCTCTCTCTCTCACACACGTGCACATACAAAGATTATTTTCAGTCTTGTGTGATATTTCAAGTGAAATCAGTAGAAAGCCATTTTAAAAAAAGAGAAATCTGAGGAATCCATGCAGCTTTGGCAGAAAACAATGCAAATGTGGCATGAAACTGCACATACTGAAGATCATAATACTGCAAATTGATTTTTGCTGAACTTGATTCAGATTGTTTAAATACGGAAGATTCTGAATAATGCTGCTGTCTCATTAACTCCATGTAGAGATGGATTACTTCCTAATTTTGTTTTGTTTTGTTTTATCATCATCATCACCAGGCAAGGCTGCATCTCATTTATTTAGTTGCAAAGAATGAAGACTCGAGTTTGGAGGAGAGCCAATTTCTTTCTTTTTTTTTTTTTTTTTTTAAAAAAGGGAAAGGAAAAAAGTTAGTTGCTTCAGGCAACAGTCCCTTTGATCTGCTCATTAACACTTTTCAAATGTTCGCGTGATGTGGGCATTAGGAAATGTCAGCACCAGAGCCTGAAGCCAGCTTGATGCGATCATATGTTCTGATATTGAGGGAAGAGTGAAAGAACTGTCAACAGTGAACTGCCTTGAAAAAGAAGCGGGGGGGAGAAAAAGAAAAAGGAGTCCCCATACCCCAACCTGTAAACGTACATGGACCTCACAGCAAGGAACGCTGTCAAGACCGAGTCCTAGCGAGGACGGAGTGGAGCGCCCGAACCACCGGAAGCTCACCGCTCTGCCTGCAGGCAGCGGGGATTACACGCTCGCGTGGCTCCAGACGCTCATTCTGTTCTGTCCGCAACATCTTTTGTGCCTCTCTCTTCCATTTGATTCAGAAGCATGGGATGCTTACGGGGTTTGAGGGCTGCTGCTTTCTTCCTTGCTCCTGTTCTTTGTCCCATGGAGCCAGATGCTCCACTCTGCCAGGGAAGCAGACTCGGAGGGAAGGGAAGAGGGGGTCCTGTCTGGCCCTAATATGCTGCCTCTCCCGTCAAGGACACTGGCACCAAAGCCCAAAACTACGTAGCCAGAAGTGGCAATAACAGGTAATGTGAGAACCTCAGATGCAGGAGAGAGGGAGAAGAATGGAGGCGCTGTATAATGATCTGAGGAAACGGATGTCAAAACAAAAAGAAAGGAAGAGTCAGGTTTTGGTAATAAGTTCAATGCAACAGTATGTGGTTTTGGAACTCAGTATTGTTGTAGCAACGAGTCCTAAAATTACCTTTTCTTTTTAAAGAAACAAGTAATATCCATGAGAGGTGGGAGGAAACAACAGAGGGCACTAGTATTTAAAGTGCCGTGGTTCTATTGCTCTCACAGAAGTCAGGCTGCTTCCTAGTAGTACCTTACCAATCTACAGCTCAAGACTTCCCTAGAAATAGCCCGCTACTCCTGTACCAAACACTATATCCAGAAAAGATGCTCAGGCTAAGTTACTGTCCCTTAAAGTAAGCATCAGGGAGGAACACACTGAAGCCCAAGGTGAATCAGAACCAAGGGGCGTTTTCTCACAGCTCAGCGCACCAATTTGTGGAGATGTAGCTCCACGCAGGAGATCAGCCCAGACAGAACCCTAAGCCTTAATGCCACGGTGCATCTTTGGCACCCAAGGGTGGTATCTTTGCTCTGCAGTTCGTTATAAAGGGCGTCTATTTTAGTTAATTGGGTCCTAGCTTAGGTATCCATCCCTCCACAGCTCTGCGTTATGTGTTGATGTACACCTGTAATGTAAACTGAACTCCTCTCACTTACAACAGGCATAGGCTGGTGCAGCTAATATTTTAATGTATTATACTGGCATACCTACCAAAAGGGCTGGAAATTAATACTACAGAACTATACATTTGACTTCTTTTTCATGTAGGACTTTGACATTGAAAAAATTCAGGAAGCACCTTATTGATTGTCATTACAGAGCCACCACTGGAAAGAGAATTCCTGCTCTCAAGGGACTGAGGTACTGCAGTTGCTCTTTACTGTAATGAAAGGAAAATGCATAGTATATGAAGTTTTACTATACCATGGGAGCTGACCACTGACGAGCGCTGACTTCTGAACACTGACCGATGTGAAGGGTATTTTGATTTTTTTCACTAGGTTGTACATGTGTAAACCTGATGCAGAAAAAACACCCCATCCACTTGGCAAACGATTAAAACTGCATGCGCAACTGAATATGATGCGATCAACTGCACTTCCGACTGTAAAAGACTGATTCTGGGCTAAAGTAAATTAGAGACACATGGGTTATGTTCTGGCAGTCATATTCAGCTAGTGACAAAACCCAGAGTTTTAGTGAGGTAACTCGTTCCGAGAGCTCTGACAAACTAAAGGAACATTAGGTTTCCTGGTATCAGTCAACTCAAGTGTTTGTCTTGGGGGAAAAAAAAAAGAAAACCTTGAAAAGTCAGGAAAAGGACAAAAGCAAAGCAGCTGCTTTCAGAAGAGCAGCTCTTGAGAAAGGATGTGATGATCCCTCTCAAAAACTATGAACAAGTAGTGATACAACTCACTCCAAAGTATGTCTGTCATTAGCTGACAGGAGACACTGAAAAAAAGTTACTTGGCTTCACTTAAGGATTTAAATTGTATTTTATATGCGTATTTTTACAAGAACTAGACTTTGAAACACAAAATGTTTGCTCTTCTACCAGCATAGGTAGGAGTCTGCTGCAGTATTATTTCCTTCGTGTCCTCCATCTCCCTTTCACCCTGCCCCAGATGACAGATCTATGTGAAATGGCTAGCTGTAGCTGCGTTCTACAGACAAAGTGTAGAAACTGTGTGAAGATGGTCTGTGAATCAAGGTTAGCCAATTTTTTTAAAATAATAGTAAGCTTTCTTCTTACTGACTTTGAATCTTCCTTCTCCACAGGAAGGCTCATGATGTAAAATGAAGTTGAAGTAAAACAACTAACAGACAACCTCCCTAGATCTCTGATGGGACTGTTCTGTGGAGAATGAGACAGAAGAGAGTTATCGTCTTAGAGAAGAGCTCGTAGTTCTTGCCTCAGGAACCCCAGACCATGAGGATGCAGACGGGGGCTGAGGACTTCTTGCCCTAGGATAGCCGGGGGCCTGACGGACTACACCAAAGCTTTTGATTACGTAGGCCTTGGCATAGTCAGGCGAGAAGGCCAGTTCTGCTGCTGCTTTAGGTTCCAGAAGCCTGAGACAAGACAAGGAATACAATAACAGCCTGGAAGCAATCTCCACTTCCCAAGTCTTCAGCGCTGTCATTGAACAGGGTAAGTAATAAACGTCACCAATTTAAAAACCCCAACACACAAGGAGATGGAAGGCAAGTTAGTGAAACAGCATTGCTGACTGCTGGTAGAAGGATAAGGAGTGCACCCAGATGAAGAGAGATGCAATGTGTGCAAGGGATTATTAAGACAGTATGGGATTTCCAACTTGAGAGCCCATAATGGACTACAAATCCCCATTTAAGTGATAGTACTTCTAAAATGGTCCTTGATTTCAGGATAACATCTGTACACCGTTATGGCCAACAACTTTGAAGTAATAGAGAAAAGGCTTTTATCAAAGATTTCACAGAAATGTAACATGTGCTCACTCAGCAGAAAGCCAGCGAGCAGCACACCAGCATGCTGATGCTGGTTCATGTGTGTGCAGGTCTCAGAAAGCCAGAAGCACTGCTGAGAGAGCAGTCCACAGTGTTGAAGCTGGTCTCTTCTTCCATTTATTGCCTATTACTAACGAAAGAAAACTCCCTCAACAGATGGCTTATGTCACACGTAGTTCTCCTGTTACTTAACCTATTTCCTACGGTATCCTTGTTTCCCGACATGGTATGAGCTATAATCATGAGTCACGCATCCAGTGACTTTTTCTAATGGTCTTTACTCACCACTTTGCAGCAGAGGGGCCAGAACCACCAGAGCAGACCGAGTGCCGCTAACAGTAACAGCACAAGAACAGCGATAAGCGCCGCTACTCCACTAGACTGCAAAGAAAGCAGGAAGACAGTGTCAGTGGATGTTGTAAGTCACTACTGCCTGGTTTTCCCACTCACCCCAAAACAGCTTCCTACTGACTGATGCAAATCCCAACCAAATTGTTCCCACTCGTCGGATCCTATTCTTGCCAACAGAGAAACTCCTCACAAAGGATGGAGAAGCGGGTCTCAGCCAAATTCCTATTTGGCACAAGTTCAGTGACACCCTCCGTTGTAAGTCTCAGTTCCACAAGTTATGCATGCAGGAGCTGCCTATCACAATCGGTGATGTATCAACACTAAAAAGAGGGAGGAGGTGGCAACATACTATTCACGTTTCTCATTCTCTCCATATTCTGGAGCCTGCAAGTCTCAAGTATGCTGAGGGACTGAACACAGCGTGCTGAACGCAGCAGTACTGATGGACATATTAAATGGAAAATGACAAAACTTTGAAAACTACTTTTTTCTGCCTACCTGTAAACCTAACTTCAAAGTAAGTCATTCAGTCATGGGTAACAAGCCCACCTTGCCCCAGTGCAAGCCAGGATTGTATCTGCTGAAGTCAGTGGATTCATTTTGATGTAAAACTGACATCCTTGAGGTAAGAATGAGGCCCAAGTTGAAGAAAAGAAAGGGTACATGGACCGCTAAGAAATGAGCTGTTAGACACAAACAGGGAAGTCTCTTTTTAAGCCTGTGGATGAGAGGTGCCCTTCTCCTCCCATGAGGACATAGGTCTGTGCGGATTGGTGGGAGGGTGGAACGTTAAGGAATCTCTACTAACATATAAGGCTTTATGCTTATTGCCCACGCATCTGGGGCATTCACGCTGTACAGACTATAGCACGCTAAATCCCTGTAGTAGAGCTATTTGCAGCTGAAGCCACCGTCCTCAGAAATTCTGAACGAGTGTTACTGCTTCCAGCACCACCTCAAACCCACATTCTGTAGGTGCTTTTATTCTTACACTTGGTGTTCTGTGCTGGTTTAGCACAATGCAGAGAAAAATGCAAATGAAAATAGAAGTTAGTCAGACTTCAGCTGGGGAAAAAGCAAAGGAGGGACTCCCAGGGAATCACTAAGGCTGGAGTACAGCGTGAGTAATTCTGTCTACGTGAGAAAAGCTGTACTGGAGATACACCATTGCAAATGGAAGGTGACACAGAGCTTTATCCCAGGTACCGGTAGGTGAGTGAGGCATACGCATTTACGAGAAACAAGTAAGATGCATGCCTCGGTGCCTAAATGCAACATGGTTTTTGTTTGTTTTTACTGCAGCAATGTGTGTTTGCTAGGGGAGGCTGTAACTTGTAACTCTTATATACCAACTAGCCATAAGCTGCTCAGCTATCGGAATTAGTGGAACAATTCTAGCAGTGACCCATTTCTTGCAGTTGCCCATCTGCTACTATGGAAACAGCAGTTCTCCTTGTATGGAGCTGTCTTTGCTGCAACATGTATGAAAGGAAAAAAAAAAAAAGGCAAAAAAAAAAAGGATAATCAGAAGTACGACAGTTTTTACTGTCAATGCACATCTGTACTCACTTCTGTTTCTTGTTAGTGAAAACTTTTGACCGCAGAGAAGTACTGTTAGAGTACAGCAGAGGGGAGACCCAGCAATTTGGTATGATCTGCTTTGCATCAATGCTTTGTTTTTACCTATCTGTTCAATCTTAGCAATTTTTAAGGGGGCATGGGGACAGAATTAACATGTGCTGCTTTCTCTGAAAGGACTCAGATAAAGAGAAAAGCAGTCTACAGTTACTCTCCAGCATCCTCCTGTGACTGTACTGTCCTTACATCATCATGCCGAGAGGCCGCTTCAGCGTGCTTTGGTGTAAGACTGAAATGCTTCCGAATGACAAAGAGGCCCTTAAACAGAGAAACAGGATTTGGGTTGTGTGTGTGTCTTCAGCTTTCTTCCTCAAACTGAAGGGCTGAAGTGAGATGACTCCGATTTCTACAGTTATCCAAGTATTTAGTTCTTAAATGAACAGAAGAAAAATGTCTCTTTTTTTCTCTTTTAGGTTAATTACCTACGAGCGATAAAAATACTGTTGGAAAAATACATACTGATGAGCAGAAGGTACTGTTCTGTATGCTTCTGTGCCTGACAGGAAAGCTGCACTGAAGTCACACTTTAAATGAGACCAATTTAAAGAAACACGGTATCCGTGCACAGCACGTTTTCAAAACCTCCATCCCTACCTTGTGGTCTTGTGTCTAACTGCAAAAATTTTAACTTGTTCTGCCTATGTAATACAGAAGACAGAAGAAATTAATGGAGAGCAGAAATGTGAGGTTAGAAATATTATATGTTAAGTTAGAAAAGTCACTGACTGCGTAAGTGTGTGGTTTATCCTGGAAGCTGTTTTTGACTCTTTTCTATAAGCCTATGATAAAAATATAGCAGGATGTTCACACTACCTTAAGCCTAGGCTTAACTTAGTGATAAAAATATAGCAGGATGTTCACACTACCTTAAGCCTAGGCTTAACTTAGGTACTCCAGCCTGTGTCCCCTCATCAACCGAGTTGAGAGCCTATACTCCTTGTTCAGGCACCAAAGTTAGGTATCTCAAGTTACGTAGCATTAGTATCCTCCTGTAGGATTATAACCACTTTCCATACCCAGGCTGAAGCCCGAAGGTTCTGCCTGCTCAGCTTCAGCCTGCTCCCACCGATCCTGCTCCGTGGAACTGTGCTGGAATGGGACCCCAGGTGACTGTGTCACACCTGGCTCCTATGACACAATTATATTTATAGTGAGCAAGTCTCTGATGGCATGGAAGCTTCCCAATATTTTGAAAGCTACAGCCGCACACTGTGCTAAAGGCATTTGTTGTAATATATTTAGCAAAATACAATTCACAGGCTACAGAAAAATAGAAGCCCCACACAGACAAGGAACACACAGACACTGCTTGGATCTCCGGGCAGAGCCGGCTGAGGTAGCCTGGGAGAGGAGGAGAATTCCAGTGCTTTCTCTCTACATATAGTTGTGCATATGGTCTAAATCAGCAGCCCCTGAAGCAGCTAGCAAAACAGATGCAGCAGCAATGAAAGCAGAAATGCTTAAAACAGAGCCTTTGTCAGAAAGCAAAGGTAAATCTCCAAGCCTGCCACATAAGAGATGGCTTTCCTGTGTTATCAGGAAGTCTCAGATGATGCACGTGGCCTATACTTCACTTAGGTGGAATCCTGCAAAAAAAGTTCTTCCTAAAATAAAGCCACCTTAATAGGAAGAATTAAGGGAACTGTTTTATATAAATGGCAGAAAAAAAATCTTGTCTGTAACCCCACACACACTTCATCAGGGAATTCAGAGCAGCTGAAAACTTTGTTGTGCGTAGTGATGTTACAAAACAGATTCTAAGCATGTCTCAAAATACAGAGAAAGCGACTTAGGGCATACATATGTAGGCACCTACGTACTAAGAAATCGTGTATCATTAAATTCTGTACATACTGTAGGTGTCTGCACAGGTACTTTTTAGTTAGGTGGATTTGTGCGTTCTAAACATTTAACGGGACTTGCCATGCATTGAGGTTCTCTGCACTGGGAGGTCATGCAATGGTAAAACCAAACGAGAAAGTGGATTTCAGGATTTTATATTGAATGATGTTAGCCATTTACTTACACACTCTGAAGCGGTGATCGTTAATGAGCTGGACATGAAAGATTGCCCTTCATTCAAACTCACCAAAACTTCCAGAGTTCTGGAAATAAAGAGGAAAAAAAAAAATCAGCAGCCATAAAACAGTCAATAAAAATGCATACATGCTACGGATGCATTTGTACGTACAGACCCTGTTCAACAGACAAGGTTTTTCCAAGAGAGGAAAATGGGAGCCGGGGCCTCTGAGCTGCACTAGACATCAGAAGTGACGTCACAGAAATCCCAAAGCTAACGTGATGAATACTTTGTGCTGTCGCTTCTAGGAACCTCTAATGACTTTTAAGCGGTCAAGATACACGGCTGCTACAGGGTTGGACCTTGTGACTTTCAGAAATGAATTTTTGGTCATTTCAGACTGAGCTTTCTTTTCCTCGACTTATGCTGCTTAAAATGAACAGTACAGTCTCCCGCGGGTACTGTGTTGGTTACTATTTGGAAATAATTGTAGTCTTCTCGATAGAGAGCTAGCTGAGTAGGGAATATCCCTTCTGTACTCCACGTAGCATAAAATACTCCAAAAAGTTTTACATAAAATAAATTGAAGTTCTGCTGTAAAAATAACATTGTTTTATCTGTTCCATAAACATCTCTGTAGTCATATGCAGACATTATGGATAAAAATGTCGGATAATTATAAATGGTCGGATAATTATAAATGGTCAAGACTTCCTATAAATAGTACATAAACACTGCATACAAATAGTACGTGGTTTACATTTTACAAATTAACCCTAGAAGAAAACAACACATGGTGAATGTTAAACATAAGAAGACTCTTCAGCTTCTCTGGCTTGGATTCCCAGGATTCAGACAGTTTATATTATGCATAGATGTAATTAAATAAAAATATAGATATCCATGAACTAAAATGATTAATCATTTATACCGTTCTTATATGTCATGAATTTTTATTCTGGCACAAATGCTTTAGTCAATATGGAGTTCAAAGCTATTTTAACTAATTTGGCTAATTTCTTTTTCAGTTTTAGTAAAAATGAAGTAGGTTGCTTCCGCTAAACTCATTTTTAAATGATCTGTGTTATGAATAATTGATCTAACAGAAAGAATAACTCTAATTTACTTCTAATTATTACTGGAATAAGTGAATCAGAACAGATAAAAAAATAATTCCCTTACAACACACTAAATAAAGGAAACTATACCAAAACTTTTGTTAGTGATGATTTTTTTAAATGTGATGCTTTTTCTTATTTTTTTTTTTATTTTCAATGTTTTGCTTTGCCACTTTAATGAGAAATGCTGTGGGAAATTTTAGCATGACAATTCTGCTCGAGTTTGACTGGCAAAACAATCCTATTGACTGCAGCGAGAGAAGATTTCGTGCCGTGCCTTTTCTTGATCGGAGAAGCACCTAAGTACACGCTGCACTGCTGAAGCACGGCCCAGGTCCTGACAGGTGTCCCTGAAGAAATTTGTGTTTTTAAACTCTTAAACCTTTTGGAGATTTGCGCATCATAACCACATCACACGAAGCATTCTTCTGTCCAAGTCACTAACCTACAGCCCAGTTACATTAACGTGAGTCCGGTGTCCTGGGGTCGCATCCTTTCGCCCCCTGGTCATACCACGGCATTAACTACGCCTGCACAGGTGTAACTGAATCACAGAATGGTAGAATATCTCAAGTTAGAAGGCAGTAACTGAATTCAGCCCATAAATACTGAAGAATCCACAGCACAAAGAAGTATTTTTGGATGGCAACTTTTCAGTTAAGCACAAATTCAAAGAGATTCAAAGATTAATCTCTTAATGTTTCATTTTCCCCCATTAGCCTTGTCTTTTTAAAGCATGACTTGGAGAAACACGCCGCAGGCTCCGCACCAAGTTTTGAACTTGGTTACGCCCGAGAAAGGGCATTCATTGTGGTCACGTTTCTTGGACATAAAAGCTATTCAACCTTTCTACTTTTATTGAACTTTCTGAAGTCATGGTGGGTGCCTTCCCACTGACTGATGCCATAACTGGGATGATATTGCTTGGTTCAAAGCCTGCTAGCACGAAGAACCCTTCCAACTGCTCTTAAATCCAAATGTAGTACACCAAGTAATTTTGATTTTTAAATTAACGTACCACGTTCTTTAAGAACCTAGATCCTTACGTACCTTCTGCATTGACTTTATTTCCAATCATATTTTAACTGTGTCAAAATACATTGTAGGTTTTCTTCAGCTCTTTTATCTTTGGTTGGAACTATTTCTGTAGTCTCTTGTCAGGCAAAACTCCCACTGAGATCAAAAATAATTCTGCCTGTGCGTTAGTGAAGACCTGCTGGATTTGGCCAGTAACATCTGACTACAGTTGCTGCCAGCTACTGGCGTTGAATTTCCAAAACGCTTTCAGATGCTCACTTTTTCCCCATTTCATTTAAAAAAAAAAAAAAGGTGAATGTGAATTCTCCATTTCCTGTGGGGTTTTTTTTCTGCTATCTAATCTACTCCCTTTGCTGCCTGGCGATATCATCCTTCCTCCTGACCCGCGTGTGTTCTTGTCAGTCAGGAATATTTTCTAACATCATTTCACAATGTGTTTTATCCTCTCGTGATGTGCTACCACCAGTCCCAAACCCACGTGGTTGAAAAAGAAGATGCATCGGTGGCTGGCTACCGTTGCCAGCACTAGCAGGCACTATCTGAAGTGTCATATACTCAGGCTCATGTGCTTTTCAGATGAGCAACTGGGAAAGAAAACACATTTGAAACTTCAGAAGAGAAGTAAAGTACTGTTGAGGCATGTTCTCACTATGCTAGCAGTACCTCTAACTGCTACTCCTGTTTCATTTTATTCTCCTGTATAAGCAAGCCTACACCACAAACCTGCTAAGCCCACAAAAATGGTAATATAAATTATTTCACACAGATCTTCATAAAAGTAGGCTTCTACAGATCCCTTAGTTCTTTAGGAAACAAATTACTCCTTTTGCAGCAATGCCTCCTATACTCACGACGTCCAGGCTGCCCCCCCACCCCCCTTGACAGATTTGCCGGCAAAAATCTAGGGGCGCACCATGGCTTACCCTGAAGGTGGATACTCACTAAAATACTGCATTTCACGCTAACCGTTTCAGTGTATGAGAGAGACAGCGTGTCTTAGGAATTCCTGGACCTGTGACTTGGGTGTTGGGCTTTGTTGGCTTCCCTAGAAAATGTCCAGCTTTCAAGACTTAACAGTCAATCCCGTTAATCTTCTCACTCCGTTTCTCTCTTACACGTTAAAGCTTGAAGCAGAAGTCACCCTTTTTTTCTTCTACCTTCCCTGTGTCGTGCAGCAAGCTACATACTCCTGCGGCAATACGTGTTATTTTCTTAGATCTGTATGGACGGTTCTCTCTTGCCTTCGTATGGACCATCCGCATTAGTCTCTTTCTAGGAGCGTTCTGCAGCTACCACACTGACGCTCCTCAGTCAGGGCAACGCCTCTGTACACCATCCTGGCCATACAGAAGGCCCCAGAAAAGGGCACCGATAAGGCGTGTGTCTAAATGAGAACTGGGCCCACAGCTCGCTGGCTCCCACGGACTGTGGTAAGAGCAGGTTTCGAGTCCCTGGTGCCACGTGCCACCTCGCTGCTGTCGAGCTGTGCACTGCCCCGACCTTCAGCTGTCACACAGCCTGACAAATATCCCAAGCATCAGGCTCACTGAACACATCAGCTGTCAGCACAGATACAGTGCAGTAGGAACAACCAGTTTCCCTATCAACTTCCATTCTGATACACAGCTGCAGGGATGAGCCATTTGAGACTTTCATAGGAGTTGATCATACTCGCTCACTTCTAGAAGCCACAGAGTGAACTCATACAGATAATCACCTTATCTTCAAAAGGATGAACCTGTCAACATACAAAATCACATCTTCCCTGAAGTTGTCGTGTCTCTAGGGTATTAAGAAAGGTGGGTTTTTTTCATTTCTTTAGCATCCACCTGTTTGACGGGCTATGTGTACTTCTGATTCTTATAAACACCACCTCTTCAAATTTGAAGTTCCAAAAACCAGGTCCCCTGTTTGTTCTACTCACTCAGTCACAGATACCACAGAGAAAACCATATACATAAATACATCTAGTGTTTACTAGTAACTGCCCACATGTGTGAGGCCTTTAGCTCAGCACTCTGCATAAACACTAAATATTTTGAAAATAAAATTACATGCAGCAGTGATTCTATTTTTTGGGCATGTTCATTTCCCACTAGTGATTGTCAGTATTCTGTCAGGTTCCTTCAGAAAAGCTCAAATCAGCTCAGAGCTGAACCAGGCTATGTCACCAGAGAGCATTTCTAAATCTTTGCGCCTCTGCTGATACTTTTTTCTGTAGACTGGAGGAATACAATTTAAAGGGTTATGAGACTGCAGTGATTTTTCATGACAGGCTTAGCTCAGGAGGGAAGGAGCAGCACCGATTCTGGTCAGCTGGTCGTAAGACCGTACCTTCCCTTTCCCTGGTGGAGGTGATCAGAAACGCCTCAAAAATGTCTCCACAGGCACTAAATGCCTGGGTTTATAAGTCCGTATGGCCAAATCTCCCAGCAATTATTTATGTGATTTATATGACTACACCCACGGTATCTTAATTGCTTGCCAAAGACTCGAGGAAAATTGCCTCTCCTTCTGCTGAGGTATGGAGACAGAGAGACAAAAGGGGTCAGTGTCCCACCCCAGCACCGAAGAAAGACCATGCTGGCGTGCGAGGCCCATGTCTGAACCCCCACTGTGCTCCATTCCCTGTGGATCTGCTCACACCCAAACAGCACAGCTACACACACAAGGGCAGACTGGCCCTGAAGTAAAACAGACCTTTTGCCACAACCCTATTTTTGCAAGGAAAGGTTAGAGTGATACTAGTTTTATACCAGCGCAGAACAAAACCAAGTGCTGGGCTTTTGAAAGCTGCTGCAGCACAGAGTATCTCCTCAGGTCAACCCTGAATAAAACTGTCCTGGTTTCGGCTGGGATAGAGTTAATTTTCTTCCTAGTAGCAGGCACAGTGCTGTGTTTTGGATTTAGGATGAGAAGAATGTTGATA